TGTGTAGGGTTTGTTTTTTATTATTGTCATTCAGCTAGCTTAGCGGGGGGAAATGGGAGAAAGAATATCGCGTGCTGTGTTAGTGGAAATCATGTAGGGAGGAATAAGAAGAGAAAGATTGTGTTGCGCCAAATTTGTAGATGCAGCTTGAAAATAACAAAAAAAAATCCTGATCTTTTGAGTGATATGTAATTTTTTTACAGTGTTATGGTAATTTACCCACGCACGCATGGACTCTCCCAACAGATAGATAGATAGATAGATAGATAGATAGATAGATAGATAGATAGATAGATAGATAGATATGAACAGAATGAGATATACAGATAGATAATGAACAGAATGTGATAGATAGAAAGATAGATAATGAAAATAATGTTATAGATATGAACAGAATCAGATAGATAGATAATGTTATGATAATTTACTCACGCCCACATCGACTCTCCCAGATATAAATAGGAGCAGGTACTGCCTTTTGGAGAGGGAAGTTTCCAGCAATCAGCTTTGACAGTCGGGCCGAACATTCTTGCTGTAGCACTCTCGTTTGTATATGTTTGTATTACTGTTTTCTGTTCATATATTTGTTTAACTCAATTCCTCTCTTGTGTCTTTATTTCTGGCCCTAACAAGACCACAACATACAGTCAGGTTCACTCTGTACAAGGCCTGGGGGCCACTCGGGGTAGAGGGTTACAGAGTGAGAAGCACAGTTTATGCAAATTGGTGGAAAAGATAAACGATTAACCCTAGACTTGAACAGGTTAAGATTGTAATGGTTGAGGAAGCATCCCATTGGGAGTCGGTTCCACAGAGCAGTGCTTGGTGGGAAGAAGCTGTTCCAGTGAAACTTACCCCTCATCAATTGAATATGAAGGTAATGAGGCTGGTTCGCTACAATATAAGCTGTATGGAGGGTCCTAGCCGTGAATATTAGTCCAGGCGGAACCAAAGAAAGCTTAGTTTATTACGATATAAACTTAAATGGTATCAAACGGAAATAGAAAGAGTGTGAAGCGTCAGTCATTTAGTTTGATAGGTCCTACTCGCCCTAAAAACCACCATTCAAAATCCTGGCGTATTACCGGATATTTACTAAGTTTGACTGGGTATGCCTGAAACGTAAGCAGTGAAAATGAGAAGATTGTGTGGCGCCAAATATTGAGGTTCTGCTTGAAAATTCTAACATTTATTTCCTACTTACTCGGTTTATCACAACACAAAAGTAAATAAAATGAAAACAAAATAGGAAGATCGTGTAGCCTCAGTTGTTTAATTGAGAAGGTTCTGGCCCTGAGCCTCAGCATTCAACATCTTTATATTTAATAAACACATTTTTATCACGACATAAGACTGAATAAAATGACACGGAAATAAGAAGATTGTCTAGCGTCAGTTGACTAACTGGAAAAGTGCATACTAGCCCAGAAAATCAGTGTTCAAGACTAAACTGGTTTGCTACTTGATATTTACTAGGCTTGGTTGTATAGGGTTAAAACCTAACTAAAGAAGATTGTACACCACCAAACCTCTGAGTGGAAAGGTTTAGTTATTTTGGTAGTGAACATTCAAAATCATATACAAATTGTTAATAGAACATAAGCTTCGATTTGGTAAGGCATTATATAAGTATGGGAATAGACGGTCTTTTTTTAAAGATAGGTGACAATTTGTTTGAAATATTCATTTATGTTATTCTGAATAGCATTCCTTTTATAAGTGGCATTCCGTTACAATGACGTTCACTCTGTACAAGGCCTAAGAGCCACTCGATGTAGGGGGTTACAGAGTAAGAGGCATATGAAGATTTGAGGGAATGATAACTCTAGACTAACGGGTTAAGATTGGAGCGAAACATCTTCTTGGGAGTCGGTTCCACAAAGCAGCGTTTAGGGGAAAGAAGCTGCTTATGTGGAACTTACGTTTCACCAATGAAATACGAAGGGAATGAGGGCGGTTCGCTACGGCCTGACCTGGATCATGTAACAGTAGAGGATAGCAGGAGGAGCCCTAGGCTGGACGGTTAGAACAGGTGGAACTAAGAAATGTTGTTCTTCTGAACCCTTTCCATGGAAATAGCAATAGAATAATGAGAGGTCTGCAACGTTTCGTCTGTGGGTTTTCGGGTGGAAAATAATTCATCACCCACAAGGACGCTTTTGGAACCTATCGAGACTGGAAAGTGAAGACTGGGCACATATGAAAGCAGGTACTCCATTTTCGGCCTGAAAAAAAGTAGAGGAGATCAGGAGGAGCCCTTACTATAGAGGGTCAGGGAGCCGACACTTTTTCCGGCATCTTTAGCGATTCATCGTATGTACGGGTTCCACTTGAGGTCTAGGGTGAGCTTAAGTCCCAAAAGGCGCTCATAATGGCCCTCCACAACTTCCTATCCATTGTAGCTCTTATCAATATTTATCCCCTTTCTATTCTTTCCAGCCGTTATCGATTTATAAAAGCTCTTCAGGTATTCAGCATGTGAGTATTAATTTTCCAAACCCTCTTTCCTCATTATAAGTCTCAGGAGTTTCAACAGTCTCTTTCTGATTCTACAACATGTCTGAAGTTATTATGCAAATCAAGTAAACCTCAATGACTCAAAAAATTCTGAAACAGTATTTGTCAAATTAAAACCGTCTGTTTCCACCCTTAGTAAAATATTTAATTAAATTTTCCGCCATTTTTAATGGTTACTTTTTGAGATATTTGGAATTTACTAAAATGTGCTGACTGAAGTTTGTATGCAGATTAAATTAATATTAGCTTAAGACCTCTGAAATCTAATAAGAACTTTTTTTATTTTCTTTTTGTCCATAATAGATGTTGAAACATGGGTAATGGGACAGATCTAACAACTACTGAAGAACAGAAAATATGAAAGTTATTTCTTTTTTTTAAGCATTACGCCCCGAGCAAGGCGTGAAGCCACTAGGATGCAGGGGGTTGCAGAAGATTTGGAGCGAGAGCAGATAGGAGTGATAGAAGAAAGGATGAGGAGAAGGATAGTGGATAGATCAAGGCAACTAGAGATGTCAATTGACAACATTTGAATAGTTGGAGATTATAGCTCTCAGGGAAACAGTAATAGGGAAGGGTGTTCCACATGCGAAAGCTTGCATATGAAGCTATTGAAATAGAAGAGACGGCCACATTTAAAGGTTTCTACAGTGAAAGGGTGAGAGCGGGATGCCAGCCTTGTAGGACGCTTGAATTCATGAAGTCTGGGAACCAGTGAAAGCAGCTCATCGGAGCAATTACCATGAAAGTTTTTGTAAAGAGAGAGGCGACGACGCGTCTGTAAGAGAGTGACTGTAGACGAGATGCCAGATCAGGGCTAATTACATTCCATCCCGTCTCTGGATCTTCTCAAGAACCCCGAGGCAAACAGAAGGGGCTCCAGACCTTATATGGCAGCAACACCCCATGCAAGGGTGAATTGTTGATTTGTATATTTGAAGTATCCGTTCCGGGGAGAAAAATTTCCTGGCGCGGCACAGAGAGCCAACATTCCTCGCGGTGGACGAAGCAATTGACTCAATGTATTTGTTCAGGTCAGCAGTCAACGTGAGACCGAGCAGACGCAGAGAGTTGCTCTCAAGAATTTGACTGTCAGACATTCTAATGGGGGGGGAGGGCAGGGAAGGATCTGTATGGTCAAAGAAAATGTGCAGAGATCATCGAACAATAAAGAACGCTGTTGAAAATATAAAGATCTTTTCTGAGAATTTGAAGCAAAGGAAAAGGCTTTAAGAACTTGCTTCCTCGTGATGAGCGTAAACTAAAGTGAGTTATAGGGAAACAACCACTTTTGACCAACCCTCAGATCTTTGAAGAGGCTGGAATTTTTCCTTGCTCTTAAGTAAAGTTTTTCATTTCTAATTATTCCACAACTAATAATTCCTGGTGTCTTAGTGTCTTTACTGCCTCGCTTGGGATGAAATCGATTAAAACAATATATAATTGAGTCGTTGTGGTGGGAAATGAAGAAACAAGTGCTCCAACGAAAAACGCTTAATCTCTAAGAGCTTTGAGATTACTACAAATGAAGAATAAGAATGAGTAAAAATTCCAAATGCGAAGATCTGAACCTTGTTTCATTCAATTCCACCTCCAAATAAGGTCATTATTCGGACCAAATCAGTAACTGAACTCATATATTGGCTTTTTGTACTTGCTGTAAAGATCATTTTTGCAAAAACAAAAATCGTTTAATTTAAGAGCTGAACGGTGAAATTTTCGCAGGTGGCCCAGTATTTTTGTATGGCCCTTTTTTCAGCACCCCTATGCTTAAATTCACTTACATGCTAATAACCTTGGAAAGGTACGAATCCTTCTCTTCTCCCCTAGCTATGGGTGAATAGCATGACAGACGGGGTTCTATAGCCTTGGGTGGCAACTGGTCTACAGCAAAAAAAATGGCAACCTACTGCGGGAAAAAATCTGCCTCGACAATTACTTATCGAAAGATACATGATCGCCTAAGCGTGTATCACGCATGACACATAACTGACTGATGCTTAATATGCCCTGTCCTCCATCATACAACATTAACGAAATTGTTTTCTGACCCCCAACGATCAGAAAATGTACAAAGTTTACTCTTAATCAATCTCGAGTTTTGCTTAAAATTTTAAAAACAGTTAAGTTGGTACAAAGGGTTTTCACACCAATCTCCTTACAATTGAAGTTAGTCCCTTCTTATTGCTTTCCTTTAGAAGCATGTCGAGAATTTTCAAACTAGCCCGCAATTTGATCACGGCTCGCCGATAGCATTTTTTTTTCGTTATGATATCCATTAAACTTACCCACAAATGTAAAAACGATTGTTTCATTTCTCTTTTTATTCGTGTTCATGTTGAACAGTGAATATTACATTTTTTTTCTTTCTCCTCTTGAATAAACGAATACACTGCGAGGGACTCCTAACAAGAAATGGCATTGCAATGCTAAAACTTTATAAAAAATGGTCTTAACAGATAAACGTCGCAAATATTTGGGACATGAGTGTGTATAGTTCGATACGCTACCCTTTTGCCACCCCAAGAGAGACGATTAAACCCATCCGCCCTTCCTTCACTAACGCGTATGGCCGCAAAAGCCCAAATTGTTTCCCGCCATTTTGCTTGGAGTATGTCGTACTATTGAAGCCTGTCATGTCTCAGATCATCTATCGAGCGGAAAAAATTATCCTCTTTTGTTCAAAATTTCCAAGGGTTTGTGTTTCTGTTCTTCTTTATTTTTGTAGCAAAAAAAAACCTTCAAAATGATGTGGATCAACATTTTTTTTAGCCTTTCTTTTCCTTTTTAGTGTTTTGTTTTACCGCCAGTTTTTTACACTTTCTTTTTTTCTTGCTCTATTTATGTAAGGCTTTCGTTTGCGCAACGCGTACTCTTCTTTTTCATCATCATCTTTTTCTTCTTCTTTTCTTCTTCTTTTTCTTCTGCTTTTCTTCTTTTCCTTCTACTTCTTTTTCTTCTTTTTCTTTTTCTTCTTTGTCATCATCTTTTTTTCTTCCTTTTCTTTTTTCTTTCCTTCTTCTTTCCCGCCATTTCTTCTTTTTCTTAGTTTTTTCTTCTTATTTTTCTTCATTTTTTCTTTTTCTTCCCTCTTCTTCTTTTTCTTCTTTTTCTTTTTCTGTTCCTTCATCTTTCCTTCTTTTTCTTCTGCTTTTCTTCTTTTTCTTTTTCTTAATTTTTCTTCTTGTTTTTTCTCCTTTTTTTATTTTCTTCTTTTTCTCGTTCTTCTTTTTTACATCATCTTCTTCTTCTTCTTTCTGGGGAATAGCCTATTTCGGAAAACTAAGATGTCGGTCGACTGTCTTATCAACCCAATTGTAAATTGAGTTCGTGTCAGAAATAGAAATTTAATTGTGAAAGTTTAAAAAAAGTCCAAAAACTAACACAGAATTTACCCATTTCCCCTATGATATGTTTTTGGATTTTATTGTTTATTATATATATATATATTCAGATATTACTATTATTATTATTATTATTTTATTATTAATCTTTTTGTAGTTCCTTTTATGGCTTCGAAATTTGGTCTGAACACTTGGACTTATACATTATTCACTTTTATTCTTTAACAATTTTTCTATATCTGAACGTTGTACAATTAGTTTCATAAAAGTTAATGAACGCCATCTGCTGAAGGCACTGCACAGCTTTTTATGACAAATTGACCATAATTGACATTTCAATCTTTTACATATGACTGATGAATATTTTTCAAACCTGAAATTGACAGTTGCTCCTCGGAATTCCTTTCATGCAAGAAACTTCAATCCAATGAAGTTATTACTTGGATATCATTCAAACCGCCTTTGTGCCTCAAGATCTGTTTTTTTTTAATAATTCGCTTTCAGAGACTACACAAAATTAAATGCAATAGTTAACAAATTTTAATCTCTCATAACCCCTCTTTTTGCTTTTAGCTTTGTGGCTTTCTTTTTGGTCCCTAATTGCTCTCTCTCTCTCTCTCTCTCTCTCTCTCTCTCTCTCTCTCTCTCTCTCTCTCTCTCTTTCTCTCTCTTTCTCTTTCCCTCTCTCTCTCTCTCTCTCTCTCTCTCTTGTTCGTCTTAGCGTTTCTTTCATCCCACCGGGTAAAGTCGTGGTATCCAGGCAAACACCACACGTAATCGACCTTCACCTTTTTTTTTCGCTCGCTTTCTTTTTTACTTTTTTTCCCCAACTTTTTAAAAATTCGTCGTTTTTTTTTTGTCTTCTCTAATTTTCAAAAAACGTTTATGAAATTTCGAATTTTTATTTTCTTCTTTGTTTTAATTTTGATCTTCTTTTATGAATGCAAATCTCAATATTTTCTTTCGTGTTTTTTTTCTTTTCTTTTCATTCTGACTTACGTCATTTATTTTTTTCCGTCCATTCTTTCTTTTTCCTTCTTTCTTCTTTTTTCCTCCCTGCTTTTTTATGATTGTATCAAGTCCTTGTTTCTTTTTTCTCATATTTTGTTTTTGAGAAAAAATAATTTTTTTCTTAATTACTTCCTTCTCATTATTGCTTCCTATATTTTCCTTGTTTCGTTCTTTCTTTCTTTCTTGTTATTTATTTTTCATTTTTTCATTCTTTCTTTATTTTTTTTCGTCGTCCATTTCTTCGAAATATTACCCCCTCGCCCCTACTTGTTTCTTTTACATTATCTTTTTTTCATTTACTCGATCTTTCCATCTCATCTTCTTACATTTTGCTTTTTTTTTTTTTTTTCCTTTTTGCTTTCATTTTCTTTTTCTTAATCACTTTCCATGGTTTTGAATAAAAGTACGTATTTATTTTTATATTTCTTCTTTCTCTTTATTGCCTGTTTCTTTCTTTCTTTCTTTCTTTCTTTCTTTTCGTATTTGCTTTTCTTTCTTTTTTTTTCTTTCAAATCATATTCTTTCTTTCTTTTTTTCTTTCTTTTCGTATTTGCTTTTCTTTCTTCCTTTTTTCTTTCAAATCATATTATTTCTTTCTTTCTTTATTTCTAATTTTAAGTTTTAATCTTTTATTTTCAGTTCAATCTTTCTTTGTTTCTCTCCGTCTTTCTCTCTTTCTTTCTTTCTTTCTTTCTTTCCAGTTCTTTTTCTTTTTTTGTTCTCTAACGTCAGTCTTCATTAATTTCATTCGAATATTTCTTCCCCTACTCATATCCTTTCTTTTTTTTTCTCACTAACCGTTTATTCCTTTAATTCCTTCGTTCCTTCCTTCTTCTTTTCTTACATTTCTCCTTCATTTTCAGTTTTCTTTTCTTCTCTTCTTTTTCACTGTCTGCTTGCAAACACATCCACTATCCAGAAAAGATCAAAAAAGCCATGACTAGCGGCAGATAAAAGAAATCCATTGTTTAAACATCCTTTTTTGTATTCAGATGTGCCAATACATTAAGAGAATTGATTCTGTTACAATTAAAGGCCCACTCGGCTATCGACCACACCAAACAAAATACCGGGTTACCAAAAGGACTTGCGTCGATACACGTATTTCGGTTCGTGATAGAAAAAAAAAATGAGCCGTCTACTTCCTGCCTGAAAGAAAATGATTGTACGCATGTGCAAAACAATATCAGTCGAAATATTTGTTGATCTGAGCGAAAATCGTTGAAGGGACAATAAGCCGTCATCCTTGTACGTTGAATGCTTTCGTCAGTAAACGCACATACACACACATACGCGCCAACACACACACGCATATATATATATATATATATATATAAATATATATATAGATATATATCTATATATATAGAGAGAGGGAGAGATAGATAGATAGATGATATTAATGATAAATATATATATATATATATATATATATATATATATATAAAATTAATTTAAAATAGGTTTTATTTCGCTATACAGTTCTAACCATGTTTCAAAAATGGAAGCCAAAAGCCCTGAATTTAATTTTGTAATTAAATTAAAGATATTAGTTCCATTTCATTCCCAAGCGAATTTTTTTTTTTTTTTGCTCTGAAACTTTACATTGAGCACTATTTTGTAAAAATAAAATATCTATAAGAACAACGGATTATATATCTTACTGTTCTTTCTTTATATATATATATATATATATATATATATATATATATATATATATATATATATATATATATATATATATATATGTATGTATGTATATATATATATATACCGTATATTGCCTCCTCTTTTAAGATGAGCTTTAAATAGTAAAAAATAACCTTAAAAATTAGGGGTAATCTTTTAGTACAATACTAAAAAAGAAACCTTCTGAGTGATGTTTAACGTCGTCCTTAGTGTGATAACGAATAACGTACATGAAAAGATTCACATTATCAAATAAACTGATAATAAAAGTAATAAAATCATTTCTGCCTTATATATTACTGGCAAAACTTCATAATAATTTACCTATTCGAAGAATAATTCAATATCAATGAAATCAACTTGTATTCATGCAAGCTCAGCGGAGAAAATGTAAACATCGAGTTATGATTGCATTCACAACAACCTTTGGTTTTCGCTAAAATTTCAACTGGCAGAAGGAACAAACTGAATAAAAAAATGTTGAAAGTAGAATGTCCTATTTTCGTACTGTGACTGACAGTATTTTGTGATTGTCGGTGAAGTATAAGTAAATGGCCATTAGTACACCAGGCTGTTTGTAACTGTTTAGATATAGGAAAAGAAGAAGAATCACTATTCAGAGGAGATCACGTGAAACGTAAAGAATTCCCTTTTAGGGGACGTATGTAGGAAAAACATGATATAGCATCGGTTTTGTTATTTTGTTTATTTTATATTTCTAACGATATAATAATTAACAACATTTCCAATAACATCATCTTTATATAATTAATAAGCAGTTGACTTATACTACAGGTGAAGGATAAATTGAATAAAGTTTCTAATAGTTTTTAACCACTAGGCAAATAAAGTCCGACAATTATATTTTAAGACATGTATTTGTTTTTTATCTATAAAAAGAACGTATAAGCATAAAAAATGTCTTTATATATATATATATATATATATATACGCTATACGTTTGGGGTCATCATGCATTTCTTTCAATAAGAGGTATTTTTGTATTTTTTAAATTAAAAGATATAATTTCAGTACCTACAGTGTATTTGCTTTTATTCTGACAAAATTAAGCACATGAAAAATACAGAAGAAATCATATTTTGTTTTCATCAGTAAAACCGTCACATTCCTTAATTAATGCTTTACAAATTCTTGGCATTCATTCCAACAGTTTTTGTAAAAAGAAGTAGATGTCAGATCTTTCCAAACATTCTTCAGCATTGAAAAAGCTCACTCTCACTTTTTGAGTATTCTCTTCGAACTTGTGTTGGCCATGTCATAATTTACAACATTTATAATTCATAATTATATTTATATATATATATATATATATATATATATATATATTTTTATATATATATATATATATGTGTGTGTGTGTGTGTGTGTGTGTGTGTGTGTGTGTGTGTGAAATTTCAGACAGAATATATTTGTAAAATGACAATATTAATAAGTGAAAAGAAAAGCTTACATAACCGATGCGTTTCGTCCTCAAAGGGACTTTATCAAGGCAAATGCAAAGGTTTTATTCTATAAGAAATTATCTTGATAAAGTTTGTAGGAGGACGAAACGCGTAGGCTAAGTTTTCCTTTTGCTGTTATATATATATATATATATATATATATATATATATATATATATATTTGGGCAGAAACCTTTGTTTCAAGCATGTTTCATTAAGGCCGACAAGAAATATATATATATATGTGTGTGTGTGTGTGTGTGTGTGTGTGTGTGTGTGTGTGTGTGTGTGTGCAGGATGCGATGGGTAAATTGTCGTTATTTGATATTTTAATTTCACGCATGTGCGTTGCTTGTTTTTGATTTTGTCGACTGCAGAATATAGTAGGGTCAGTTGGGCACCGTCTGTGAGAAAAAGAGCACCATGACGCAATCCACTTCGTCAGAAATTTGAATGTTGTACTGCCTGGCATCCACATCAGAAGCTCCAATTCAAAGTCTTTCGATGTAAATTTGAGGATGGTGCAGAGGAATCCGAAAGAGTTGGATGTGTCTAATTGTGATTACGATGTTGTTTAGGGTGATCACTGGTGATGGTGACGTTAAACTTCCCACAGGGCCTCAACCTCAACACAGAGGCCTACATCAAGTACGTTGAGGAGGTCGTGCATCCCTAGGTCAAGAAAGTAGTTAATGGAAGATTCTGAAACAGTCTGAAAACAGGACTATGCGCCATGCTACAAAAAGAAAGAAGAACACAGGTCCTGGTTGTCAAACAATTTCTGCAACCACATCACCCCCAGGCCAGGTATATCCCCAGACTGCTCCACCTTGATTATTATTTGTGGGGTGAAGTTGAGCGAGAGACCAACGAAATGCCTTGTAACACCAAAGATCTACTGAAGCCAATGATTATGGCAGCATTTACCAACAAAGAGGAAGACCTTCCAGAAGAAATGCTGGAGATTCTGGAGTCGTCTGGAGGGCGTAGTTGTAGCCAATGGCGATTTTATTGAATAAATAGACTCTTTAATATTTCAAGATATTTTTGTGCAATTTTGGTAAATATGTCTGTTAAAATGAGGTTTCAATGTTATTTTCATTTTTGCGCAATTTAGACCACAATTTATCCATCGCACCATTTATCCATATATATATATATATATATATATATATATATATATATATAATAGGCCGGTTAATGAAATTCGAGGAATAGAAAACAAAATGATGAAAATAACACTGAAGATAAAGAGTTTTCACTCGGAATTTTTGGACACGCCTTTGCCTTTTACCAAGGAGACATGAAATAAACAATGAATATAGCTATATATATATATATATATATATATATATATATATATATATATATATATATATATATATATATATATATATATATATATATATATATATATGATAGCTGGCCACTCGTATTCGAGGATACCCGTTTATCTGTTTTGAACAAACACAAATGTGCCTGAGCAATAGAGATTGACTAGGCCCTAGTGTGTATATATATATATATATATATATATATATATATATATATATATATA